GAGTTGCAAAAGTTCTGTCACACCCATTATATTACGATACTTTTCGGTACAGCGTAAGAATTGCAGTAAAAATTAAAAGTATGACTTGTGTGACTTATGAGACGCCTTGTGCAAGAGCAGACGAAAAGAAATCATAAACCGGAAGTAGTGCGTGGACAAAGTGTCGGTATTGATTTCTCTAGGTCTACGTTGAAATCAACGCTTCCTGCACACAACATTTGCTTTGAATCACGTAGACAATGTGTGAACACACCTTACACACTATGAAACGGTTGGGTACTTTTTTCACCTGCTTTTTCAAAATAAAAAACTGATAAATGCAGAAAATAAAGGGGATGTGTGTATGATAAATTCTTAAATTGTGCTTTCCGCTGTTGCAAGACACGTAGATGTGTATAGAAGAACCATCTAACGCTTGAACAAACGTTTTAAAACCACTAGAACTGTCCAAGACAAGCCTAGGCGAGGACAACCAAGGGCGACAACTCGACGTCAGAATTGGGTTATTGTCAACACCCATGTACGAAACCAGTTCCAACTAAGTGCATAGACTGCCAGGTACTTTGGACTATCTTAAAACACCATTATTAGACATTTATAAGATCATGGGTTACATGATTATCGCCCTTTGCGGGGAGCCATTCTAACCCTGTTTCATCGAACAAATCGCCAAATTTTGGCACAACAACATTGGCAATGAAACTAAAGACGGTGGTAAAGTGTCCTTTAAGCAATTGTGAAGGTTTTAATTCATTGCATTGACGGAAGACAAAAAGTGTTTAAAAGAAGGGGATAGAGATTTCCCAAATCCAATGTCCCCCAAGAGGCCCGAATCGGTGGCTGAAATGTGATGGTATGGGGTGGAATCTCTGCTCTTTATCGTACACATTTGGTTACTTTTCAAAGCAACCTCAAAGGACGGCGGTATTGTTTCGAAATTCATCGTCACGTTGACTGCCCTACATGGCACGGATGATGGAACTTGTTAACAAGACAACGCCAACCACAAATGGCTACGATCAGTGAAAACTCCTTCCAAACTCATCACATCGTAGTTCTGGACTCGCCTGCAAGACCAACAAGCCTTAACCCAACAGAACATCTGTAAGATGACCTTGACTGGAGGATTAGAAACCGGCCGCCCTCCGTATAAACTCGTCAGGAACTAAAGACTGCACTTCACAAGGAATGGCAAGGGATTCTTCAGACAACCATAAGGACATTAATTCAGTCAATGAACAGATGTTTTGTATCAGTAATTCAAGCTGGAAGAGGCCACACGCCATACTGAGCAAACTTTGATTTGGATTTTGTAAGGGTCAGTGTGAATAAAAATTATCTCCCTTGAATAAAGAAAGACATTTGTCAATTACCATTCTTTTCTTGTCATGTTGGCAGAAAATGAATAAAGATCTCGTATACCAAATTTCTCTTTGCTAGGTAGAATAGTAAACGAGTTATTGTACTTTTAAAGTGGGTGTGACAGAACTTTTGCAACTCGGTATATATCATTTAGGAAGTGGAAAGCTCTGGTAAGCTTAATTGGTCGCTTTTAAAGGACATGCGGGCTAATCCAGATTTCGGGGGTTTCCAGAAATCTTGACCTACACCAAAACTTGGCGTTGCCCTACCTGTAAGAGAAGTTTAGTTTCATTGGTGTGTATATTTGTTTAGTTATAGAAAAAACTCTCCTTGTCTTTTAAAGAGACTGAATAAGAAACCAAAAACTTTGACTTCGATTTTCTCAAAACAGCATTTTTCGGGATAGCCCACTTGTCCTTAAAAGCGACCAATTACACCTAGGTAGTCAGTGTAGATTGACTTGACTAACTCTTAGTATATATGGCTTGCCAGTTCAGCTGGCTTGGTTCTTAACAATTATCATAAAAATCTACTAAACTTCAGAAATTTAATCTTATCTACAATCAAACTGTATACTTATTGCTGAGATCATTCATTTCTACTCAGTTTGGTTTTTATTAAATGCAAATGGTGATTAAATAGGAGCAGAATTACAGAAAAGGTCGCGTACAAAGGAGGAATAGTCTTCTGTGAACTAAGAGTTATTGATGGTCTATAGATACCAAATGTTGACAGACTTTGTTCATTATCCCTAGATACCATTAATGGCGTTGGTATTGCCATTGGATATTTCTGGCAGCAAGCAGTTAGTTTTATAGCTTAATTGGTATCTTACTGGCATATGGTGCTGATATACTGATTGAAATATCTTTCACCGACTTCGTCGATCCTCAATCGGAAAGGACTGTTAGGATGTAAATGCAAAAGCTTACATAACTTAACAGTGATGAAAAGGGTGTTAAACTGACACCAAATCGTGTCGATGTTGATTGACAGAGAAATTAAACTGAATATTGTCCCTCGTATTTTGTAGACCTGGGCGACCAAAAGGAGCATCTGTACACAAGTTTTACGAGCGGAGAGATCACGTGGCCACTGTCATCACAGACCCATCCCGAGGACTGTATAGTGGTAAGTCTGTATGTCTGTTTGGCAAGCTGGGTGGCTGGTTCTCTCTCTCTCTCTCTCTCTCTCTCTCTCTCTCTCTCTCTCTCTCTCTCTCTCTCTCTCTCTCTCTCTCTCTCTCTCTCTCTCTCTCTCTCTCTCTCTCTCTCAAATATGATATCTTTTTTTCTTCCTTTTTTCGGGGGGGGGGGGGGGGGGGCTCATGTGTGGTGTGGTTTTCAAGCTAACCGTGAGTGATTTCTTGACTTTGCTCCATTTTTTTGTTAGCTGTCTGTTCTAATCAGTCTAAAATAATGTTTTGATAAGATCTACTTTACTTTTTTGTTTAAATAATCAGAAGTCTCAAGACAGCCTACTACGCTGTTCTATTGCTCTTATTTTGCTAAAAGACACTACCGGCTTCCTGAAGTTTTAAGAAACAACAACAGTCGCCATGAACATTAGCACCGAAGCTTAGCTTTCTTTTTGTTGTTGTTTTTTTACTTGTTCTGTTTTGTTTTGTTTTGTTTAAGTTTTGGTAATTGCTTTACAGTGCTTGCATATGGTCATATGAACACGTTAGTTTGGTAGGAATTAATTTTGCAAACACAGATCTCTTTTTCAGTTTACTCTTCGATTTTAAACGTGACGAAGTCAACCGCTGGTCAAAATAATGAAATAGAAGAAATTGACACTTTCCATGCTTAGGGCAATTTTGAACCGTGTTTTTTTTTTTCTTCTTTCTTTTTTTTGTGTGTGTTTTTTTGTGGGATTTTTTTTTTGGTTTCTTGTTTGTTTGGCTGGTTGTTTGTTTTGTTTTGTTGTGTTGTTTTTTATTGTTGTTTTGTTGGGGGTCCATCTTAACCATCTTGTTTAGTGTACTTACGACCTTAGAGCATGCATCAAAGTATCATTGAGTGTGTATCTAGCTTACGATTACTATTGTTTATATTGCTGCTCATTTATATTATGTATGTGATTGTAAGCCTACTTGTGTGTGCATGTGCGTGCACGTGTGTACGTGTGTGTGTTTGTGTGTGTGTGTGTGTGTGTGTGTGTGTGTGTGTGTGTGTGTGTGTGTGTGTGTGTGTGTGCGTGTGTGTGTGTGTGTGTGTGTACTCGTGGTGGAACACCAAACCAATGTGCCTGGATCTGGACAATAAAGATGTTTCTTATCTTATCTTATCTTATCTTTGTTGGGGGGGGTTGGGGGGGGGGGTTCTTGGGGTGGGGGCCTTTTATGTGAATTTAAAAACAGATTTTGATGTGAATTCTTATTGAAAAATTGTCGATCAAAGGCACAAAAATGTAAATATTCCGTTTTCAAGAACACAAAAGCTTTAATTGGAAGTCACAAAACTTTGGCGGTCTTTTTCTCGCTCATTTTACCTTGGCACAAGGCGACCCCCCTCCTTCATTCGCAGATATCTCGGCTTCTATTCAAGATACTCTAAGGTATCGAATAAAAGAAAAGGGGGGGGGAATAAAAGAGGGTGGTGGACAAGTGGTCCAAAATTAATAAACGGAGGGGGGGGGGGATAAAAGGTGGCACATTTAGTCTCATACCTCTGTACTAGTATTAGGAACAAATCTGTTTTATTCCTCCTTCAGTGAATAAAAGAACAAGAGATCATGAAATTTTAGTGATTTTAGTAAGTTACTGTGAAAACGTTTCCCATTTAGGAACAAAACAGTTTTATTAAAACCATATAAACCAAATGACAAAAGTTTTTAAAATGCACAGGAAATTGAGGTAGCCAATACAGAGAGTAATTTGCTATTTACAAAAAAAAGGTACTTTCATTCAGATATCTAGATTCTGGATAAAATGTTTCACATGATTGTCGGTCGTGGCAAGTTGCAAAATAATAAACTGGGGATATGGAATAAGGAGCATGGGGGGGGTGCAAAAAAACTTTAAAATTGATAAGCGCTTATTCGACCACTTAGGGTAGATGGGTAATTTTTTTTAAAACAAAAACACGACAAAAGAACCAATTTTAAGATGATACATATAACTCCTTAGGCCAAAAATTCACGAGCGCCCGTTTCCAACTTGTCATGACACACATGTTGTGTACATCCTCATCGGCACAATTTAGAAAATGTAGGAATCTTCAGCCTCGATTTGTATGATTACAGCTAAGTTGAGCTGAATGGGATACAGCGTCCGCGCAGAAATGCAAAGATACAGGGACTTGATACGGTGGCCAGTTCCTTTCCACGCCGTCTTTACTTCTCCAACTCGAAGTCAGGTAGCCATTACTGCTGAGTGGGCAGGAGGAGGCGAAAAAAATCCGTGTCCGAACCGAGGCTCGAACCCGGACTTTCGGCTTCGGAGACGAGCGCATTAACCGCTCCGCCACCACACCCTCTTTTATTTATGTGGAATAACAGGCAGTAAAATTGCAATACCTGTCCCTACTTTACTATAACTGATATCAGAGTACAGAAAAGTTATGAGGGAGGTCATTGTAAGCATATGATGTTATTTCAGCTCATTCTGAGCCACCCATTATAGTGTGGTCAAAAATTCGTGGTGCTACTTATTTTCAAATATCTTCTCAACTATCGAACATACGTTCTCCAATTTTTGCCCAGTGACTTGTATCAACTTGTCTTAAAGGGGGGTGGGGGGGGGGGGGGGGAGGTACACCCCCAAAGCCCCGATTCGGCTCAAAATTATGGAATTTGAGTTGTAGGTATTTTTAGCTTCCTCAGCCTCTCCTACAACTATTTCATCGCATAAGAACCTCCAAAAACCCTTTTTTTCTAATACCAGGCATGTTTATCACCACCATTTCCTTGTAAAGTCATTATTTTATTTGTTCTTTACCGGCCGTTTTCTCAAAACGCGACTTCTCTCTATACTTTTTTGAATAACTCCACCATTTTTCTTCCAATCTTCATTAAATTTTCACAAAATGAAGAGAAGATGAATTACTAAAATTTGTCTGTTGAATTTTTTATATTTGGAAGAGTTTTTTGTTGGTAGTGTCTTGAGTGTGAATTTTCACGGATTTTTTGCAAACTTGAATGGTACCTCAGAAAAAAATTCATTAAAATTCTAAAATTCGTTTAGGAAAAAAACAACAGACAAATATTTAGATCTAATGTTTGTTAACACGCATGCAAAAAAACTATCAATTTCCAAGAGCAGTAAGTGCGGTATTCATTAAGTAAGACATGTCAACAAAATCCAATATGGCCGCTGTATCCGTGGAAACGAAAGTTTTTTTTCTCAGATTTGATTACGGTTTCTAAGACTCCCTACTATGCTTGTTATATGTGTGAAATTTGGTAAAATTCGGTCCAGAAATAAGCGAGATAGCCTTCAGGTGTAGCCCCCCCCCCTCTTCCCTTTAACAGATCAACATTTTTTTTAACACTTGCAAGCTGTATTCTAGAAAATTCCTTAGTAAATACTTATAAAAAATCCAAGTGGGTGTTTTCTACATATTTTAAATGTTTACAGCTGGGGCAATATTGCTTTTAATGGCAAGTCAGTCAGGTTCTTCTAATCGGGACATTAAGCTTATTGAACGCATGTTTTGAGAGCCAGTAGTGCAAAAATGTGTTCAGTATAACAATAATTTCTTGTAACAAGTTTTGCAAGTAAAAATTGTCATCGATGAGCTGTGACGTAGGCCATATGCCTAATCAAAATGTGTGTGAAAAGCTCGAAGTGCCGTGAACAATATCATTTTACATGTGACCGAGATTTCTAGTATTGCGTATAAATTTATGAAGAAAAGTTTTTTAATCTAACCCCAAATGTTCTGGAGAAAAATGATTTAGTTAAGACAAATTGATACAAACTGCTATGCAAAGTACGGATGACATTGATCACCCGTTAAAGAGACATTTGTGGATAAGCTGCACCACGAATTTTTAACCGCACTATAATTAATTAACTTGGCCAAAGTTGTAAGTAGCCACAAATAAATCACCTCTCTTCATAACTAGCTTTTTAAAACGTCTTTCCACGGATATTCTTAGACCTATTGCTTTGGTCAAATTAGTTCAGTACGCTCCTAGGTATTAAGGACACCAAAACTCCTTTCCCATAATAAAGCAAATGATTGGTGGGCGCCACTGATCGGCCTTACTTCATTTCTTTTTCCCACTTATTTCTGTCACTCTATAGTTGTTTCTCGAGCAGGTAAGCACGAGGCTATGCCTTCTCTGTTCAGGCCCTGTATCTCGGACGGTTGGCTCCGGCATTGGAGGCCGGGTTGGACGAGTTTCTTTTGATAAATTTGCCTTGAGACCCATCCATATCTTATCGAGGATCAAAAGCGGCGACTAAATGTAGTTCTTTTGTCGCTGTACTTCCTTTTACTTTAAATAAATGCCAACACTCTTTGTGACTTGACGAGGACTTTAATGATCAAGCACAATGAAGACATACGTCAGACGATGCGTGACTTGGACAGAAACGGAACAGAAATAAAGCGGATGAATATGATTGACAAATATGGGAAATAATAATATGGACACAAAGAACAGATACGAATGATGGCACATACCTGTAGTCTTGTTGCAACTGAATGATATTCCTCTACGCCCCCCCCAAGTCTTTGGAGTGGAACAGGAAAGACTGATATAACATCAAGGAATACTGGTGATATAACAAGGAACATAACGAGAGATAGGAATAATGGCAATGTCTGCTTGGACCTATGAAAAGAAACTAAGAAAGCAAATGATTAATTTATAAAACTAAATAAGTTGATAAAAAAGGGCATCAAAAACAATTGGTAGAGACCTAAGTAACTTTGAATATCTGCACAAGACAAACGTTCTAAAATAAGGCGGAAATAGTGCTTAGTGACCATAGCCACCCACTGACATCGGAATTTCAACTATCGACCCGCAGTAAACGATACATTTCCAAAAAAGCAAGAACAGACAGATATAGAAATTCATTCGTACCAACTGCAGTGAGGTTACTGAACACACAGTGCTACAAATGAAACAGAGAGAGAGAGAGAAAAAGAGAGAGAGAGAGAGAGAGGGGGGGGGAGGGGGGAGAGAGAGAGAGAGAGAGAGAGAGAGAGAGAGAGAGAGAGAGAGAGGGGGAGAGAGAGAATGAATGTTTTACGGAGCGGTTGTCCCAGCTCGTGAGACATGTAAATTTATTTACTTGGCCTAATGTCCTGTCTTGTTATGCGTTTGCGTGAGTGCACCTTTACGTATAACGTTTGTAACGTCTACTGCCATTGTTAATGACCAAGACAAATTTCTCCCTGCGAGATGAATAAAGATTGTCATTGTCATTGTCATAATTGAGTGTCAGAATCAGACTTGGATTTAGAGTCAATTGGCTTGGGGCTCTGTCTGGCTGATTGTCGTGAGCCGCCTGGAGGTGTGCTCACGCTTATGGGAACATCTTGCTCTTGTAGGCCAGGGGCGTTGTGCGGCTGGAGCGCACCTAGAGCACGCGGGGTGGCTCGAGTCTGAGGTTGTAGGACTACCGACCGTCTCGACAGCAGGGCGTGGATTAGGTGGTGATTCTTGCCCGGATTCGGGGACAGCAGGCATCGGTTGATTGTGTGCTGGGGGGTCCTGAACGCCAGCTGGTTGGGGTAGATCCGGGCAAGGGGAGGGCGGCGAGGTCACGCTTGGCTTGGCATGCTCTGGGGTGGGACTATTCTGAGGCACCGGCAGTGGTGATGAGGTGCCACCTGGGACCATCGTCAGTGGTGAGCGCGGGACCACAGGCATGTATTTGCGGAGGAACTTTCTGTTGCGAACGATGACGCGGCCAGAGCCATCCACTCGAACGACATACTGGTCGAATTGGCGTACTTCCACCACAATGCCCGTCTTGTCCCATTTGGTCGGGTGGGTTCCCTTTTGGTTCTGTATGCGCACACAGTCACGGACGACGAGTGGAGATAAGATGCGAATGTGCTCAAAGAGGTGCTCAGCGGTGCACATGTGCCGGTTCCTCAGTGCCTCCTCTCGCAACAGAAGGGTTTCACGCCAGGTACTGTGAGGCTGATACTTCCCTGGGTGGATGGGTTGAAGTCCCGTATTGGACGTCCAAAGATACACATCGCTGGGGGTAGGTGGGTGTCACGGTCAGGAGTGTTCCTGAATTGCAGCATTGCGCGCTGGAACTTGTCAGCGTTTAAAGATCCCTGTGCACCCGTGTTGTCAGTGATCAACCGCTTCACAGTCTTTACTCCAACTTCAGCGCGACAATTAAAGTGGGGAAAGGCGACTGAAGAGATTCTGCGGTGGACACCCCAGTTGCAAAGGAAGGTGGAGGTTGCCAGGGACGTGAACTCTGGGCCTCTGTCCGATGTCTTTTCATCACTGATGCCATACGTGACAAAGATGCGACGCAACGCTGCAAATGAGGCCGGCAGATCCATGGGAGGCTTCTACAACGATTGGCCAGTTACTGTACCTGTCGATTGCAACTAGGTAGCTGTGGCCTCTATGATGGAAATAATCCGCCACAATTCATTGGAACGGGTATGCCGGTGCCATTGGAGGGGTGGGAGGTGCACTCGGCTGGGAAGGTGCCATGCGGTTGCATGACTGACAGCGAGCCCGCACGTCAGTGATGGCGGGGGGGTCATGCTGGTCCAGAAAAACGAGGCCTCAGCTCGGGTGCACATTTGGGACACACCCTGGTGAGCAGAGTATAAGGACTGGAGGAATCGCTCACAGAGCGACGGGGGGATGACTACCTAGTCGTGGTACAGGATGACACCATGAAATGTCGTGAGGAATTCCCGGAATTGATGGTATGGGCGGAGATCAGGGGATAGAGAAGGCCTGTCTTCAGGGAACCCATCCTCAATGGTGTTACTCAAAATGGTCATTGTGGAGTCGCTGGATGTTGCAAGTCGAATCTCGTCCCAAGTCACTGACTTGATCACCTCAGTAGGAGCGTGGTCAGGTTGGGAGCATACCTGGTTGGTGTTATCCAGTTCCTGGGTGCGGATGGCAGAAAGAAAGTCGTGTTGCAGTACAGGTGTCAAGGGAGGGTCATCAAGGAGCAGAATGGGAGCGGCATCATCAGGAAGCCTGAGAGTGTTAGGGCTGCCCACGGGTCTGCGGGAGACGGCATCTGCTGCAGCATGGCGTAGACCAGGGATGTGGATGATGCGGAAGCGACATCTAAGGGACTTCTCCTTGAGGTTCCTGAGGCGGGGATTTGGGATATCGTCGAGACACCTGTCCCCAAACGTCTTCAAAGGAGGTTTGTGGTTCACTGCCACGATCAGGTCGGAACAACCCAAGGTGATATGGCGTGCTCTGTCTAGTGCATCAACCACAGCCAGGGCTTCACATTCTATGGGCGCATAGCGGGACTCGGCTCCTGATGTGAATCGACTCCCGACAGGGTAATCTTCCACCCTGTTTTGCTGCAAAATGGTTTTTCCGAAGGACATGTGCAATGTTTCTGGAACAGCCAGAAGCCTATGCCATCCTTGCTCTAGTCGGTGGCTAGGCAAGTTGGTTTCTTCTTGTCAAATATATCAACCCCTTGATGGATTTCATTGATGATAGCCTCCTTTGACCTTTCAAACAGACGGTCGAGCTCCTCTGTCCATTCGAAGCGTTTTCCCGGATTCAAGGCTTCCCGGAATGGAAGCATGCGTTCAGCGGAAGCGAAGGCATAGGATACCTGATTGATGAGACCGAACCAGCTCCTGACGTCGGTGATGTTCCGAGGTGTGGGGAAATGTCGAATGGCCTCCAGGTAGCGGGCACATGGGCGCACGGTGGAGGGAGTTATTTCGAAACCCACAAACTCAACCGTAGTTTTGGCGAATTGGAATTTGGATGGGTTGAGTGTGGTGCCACATAAGTCAAGCCACTTGACGGCCTGGAAAAAAGCTTCCTTAATAGAGTTTGACCACATAAGGGTGTCGTCAATGCATTTGGTTTTGTGGGGGAAGTCGGCAACGATCTCATCGAAGCGGCGGCTGTATCCGTCCCCGGACGATATGTAGCCTTCAGGGGACACGAGATAGCGGTATCGACCCCTTGGGGTGATAAACGTCGTCAAATTTCTATCTTCTTCAGCAAGAGCGATGCTATGGTAGCCATTCCACGCGTAAAAAATGGATTTCCTCGTGTGGGGAGGCACTTTGCGGGCCTGGTGGAAGGGAAACTGAGTGTGGTGTGTCTCCCGCATTGCATGTCGGTTAAGCGGTTGGAGGTCAACCTTGCGACTTGGTTTACCCGACTTCTTCGGACAGATCACCATCTTGTGGCACCAGGTGACTAGGGTGCCGACGGGGACAGGCTCGATGACCCCCAGTCGCACATCTTGACCTAGGCCGGCTTTGACCTCGTCTTGCTAATGGACGGGGACCGGGATGGGGGTGTGGTGAGCCTCGGGACGGGCGTCAGGGTCCACCATAAGGTGGATGGGTGGGCCAGACATCATTGGTTGTAGTTGATGTTCGCACACGTTGAATGTACTGGACCTGTAGTGATCTAGGAGCCACTGCTTTAAGCCCTCTCTGTTCTCTTCTGTGGAAGGAAGCCGATCGAGGTAAAGAGGAATATCAATCATAACTCCCTCCACCGTGCGTCCATGTGCCCGCTACCTGGAGGCCATTCGACAAACTTGTTGTATACATGATGGTCTAGGGATACAGAGTGCGCATTAGACACTGGTGTGGCCGAATCTGCACCACATAGCCTGTCAAAGGTGATAGCAGAGTCATCCAGGGCATTGGTGGGGTTGCAGTTTCGTGACGATTGTCGGCAGAGGTTGGCGAAATGACTGGATAGGCCATGTCTGGTGCATCTTTTACCGGACACTTCTTCATACGTTCCTGTCTACCATTCCCATGGTCCAGTTTGCAGCAGTAATTGTAGGGGAACGCTTGGCCCTTGCTGTTGCCTTCAACGAGGTGACTGGCTGACCTCTTGCCACTCTCCTTCGCCTCCACGTAGCAGAGTGCGTCCTCAAGGGACATGTCCTGTTTTGACTAGCCTAAGATGTCAAGTCGGATCTCCTCATCAATCAGACCTCGGATGAGGACGTCACGAATCATCACATTGCTATAGTCCACGCTGAATTTGTGAGCATCTGGAGGGCACCTAGGGCATTTTATCTTGAAGTTGCAAACCCCGGCCTGGCCCCAGAGGCGGGCGCGAAGCCTCCGACAGGCTCGTCCCGGTCTTGCTTCATTTGATGTAGCTGTACCCGTGCTACCATGATGTTTTCCTGGCGCACCGCCAGGCTCTTGATGTTCTTTAGGACAGTGTCCTCTTCGCTGGAGGCTAGGGCGCCGAGTGTCCTTGTGAGGTCTTTTCGTAGCGACTCGTCGCAGCACTCGAGAAGCTGGAAGACGATGTCTGCACCAGTGAGGCGAGTCACATGTTTGTAGTCGGCGCACCGTTGGGTAAATTATGACCACACTCGCTCGTTCCGGATGCACACACGACAGGGCGTCGCACTTTCTCAGCCTTGGCTGCCACAGTCGGTGCGTTTGCTCGTGCTGTATGGGCTGTGGTGGCGTGGTTGTCAATGAGGCGTGTCAACACCTCGATCGGCGTAGATGCAGGCCACTCCACGTAGCAGCCAGGGGCAGGGCAGGGTATGGTGGTCATGATGCATCTTATATGTCTTCATAAATAAATGCCAACACTCTTTGTGACTTGACGAGGACTTTAATGATCAAGCACAATGAAGACATACGTCTGACGGAACAGACATAGAGCTGATGAATATGATTGACACAGGGAAATAACAATAATGACACAAAGAACAGATACGAATGATAGTACATACATGAAGTCATGTTGGTACTGAATGATATTCCTCTATACTCCAACTAAAACAATACCCTGAATAGGATTTACTGCATGTCCTTCATATGTCATTGTTCTCCTTTTTTTCTTTCTCTCATCCAGGTAGTTCTTCATTGCCGAGTATAGAAGAGCCCTACACACGACCTCGTGACCCGTTAAATCGCCAGGGCACGGCTGAAGAGATTGCGGATCACGACTCTGATCTACACTCAGAATCTAACTACACAGACGCCACTCTAAAGGTAACGTCAAACCACATGCGATGAACACATGTGTTTGTGCTTTCAAAAGCAAAATTAGATGAAAGGAAGGAAGAAATGAAGAAGGTAGAAAGGAAGGCTATGAACAAATATATATTTTAACACAGGACTTTACTAGATACTGTTTTTTAATCGAAATATTCTCTCGAGCAGATGAGTACGAGGCTAGGCTTTCTCAGTTCAGGCCTTGTATCTCGGACGGTTAATTCCAACATTGAGGCCGGGTTAGACGATCTTCTCTGATAAGCTTGCCTCGAGACCGGTCCTTATCTTATTGGGGATCAAAAACGGCGATTAAATATGAAAAACGACTATAGGCAGAAGTCTAACACTAATACATACACTGGTGATGGAACATTCTTGCAATACGCTTTTGCGTGCCGATAGTGTAATGTTTGTAGTGGGTAGCCGTTTAGTCTGTAATCGCCTAGCCTCTTCATTGATTCATTCAGTGCTCCTGGATGTACACTTTTTTGCGTTTGGATGTACAGGGTGATCTAAAAAGAGTTTTTTTTCTAAATATTTCGCCCAAAATCTGTACCAGAATGTTGTAATCTGGAACAGATATAATTCATTGAAAAGGAATTTGTTTCACATAAATTCACAGAGAAGAAATTTATTTTTGAAAACAGAAATAGCTTTTATAAAATTTTAAAAAACACCTGTTAATGCAAAATGCAACAATTTGAAAGATTTTGTAAGGAAAGTCATGTAACGATTCGTTTGGGGTTTTTTTCTTTTCCTTTCATTTTATAAATCTAATCTTTCCATCCCATTAACCTTTAAACAATGTAGGGTTTTTTTTCGCTTACAGAGTAAATATTTTTTTAATTCTGGAATTCCGAGAACCAATAGTTCTCCTTTGAACTCGACACATTTTAACGTGTCGTTCAGCGGTGGCCAAACACAAGGATCCACTCAACCGTGAGTACTCAAAGCCATGCACAATGGACACCTTAGGCCCCAATTACACAGGCCTAACGATACCGTCTCTCTTTGGGCGGTATATACCGGTGTTATATTCTGCCCCTCTGTCCTGCGGTTCGACAGCTAGAGCTGTGTAATTGAATAATTTGACATCATAACCCCGGCACGGTATGGCTTAAGTGGAAATTATCAGTGGCCATTTCCGCGCAAGACGTGCAGGAGACATAGATATAGATCTGCCAGTACCAATCTAGCAATGGATCCTGTGGTGTTGTGGTTGTGGAATAAACGATGGGAGAACAAAATAGATAGGAAGACAAAGAGGATGTGGGTTCGTTCAATTTATTTGAACAGGCAACAAGTTGGCGAGTATAATACGCTCTTTGAAAATATAAAGAACGATGATGAAAAATTCTTTTGACAGTCCAAGTTCCAATGCCATCTGTGTCCATGTTCTCTCTGTCAGGTTTCGATCACTATACCTTTTGTCGTTTTTAGTGCATAAAAACGATTTTTCTCTAACAAACCAAATCAGATATACGTTTCGGTCTTCTGATCCTTCATCAATGTCTTCTTCAACTGGAGGCGAGAGAGACGAACGTTCACTTGAATCATACATTTTAACACAGGGCGTGCTATTCCAGGAAAAGAGGAAAGCGCGGTTTGTTCATTTCTCGTCAAGCCGCCTTGAGACCGTGCCCTGTGTCGTAAACTTTGACCTACATCTTTCGAGTGTCCACGTGACGGCTTTACGACAATTAGCCTCAATTTCAAACAGTCACTATGTTATACTTGGAACCATTTCCGTCAGTGCTTCTCGGCACAGCTTGCCTTATCCTGTGTAATTGGGGCCTGACAGTGAGGAGCTGTTTTAGAGGCAATTTGGGGGGGGGGGGGGGTGAGGCTGGCCAAATAGACAGCAATTTGTGGAGTTGATATAAACTGAAAGGTGAATATGGGCTTTGCCAAGGAACCAAATTTCACGCTTTTTAAGACGATCGATAGCTTCGCGAACAGGAGAATGGTATAGTAGTAGATGAAGATCTACCTTGAGAATGCGGACCGTTAAGAATTCGGAAAGTCATTGCTGCAGACATCGTCTATGGACAGACGTCTCATGGGGTTATCTACTGAATTCTGCACCCTAGTGACGTTTAAAGGGGTGCGAACGGTGTGTGTTTGACCTGAAGTGGTCGTTTTGTCAGGGAATTTTTAGTTCTGATTCTCTACAGGTCCCAACTGATGGACATCAGTCCACCTTTGACATCAAAGAAGGCCTTAAGGGCGTTTTAACATTATTTCCCTACCTTGTGCGAAACTAATGAAATGAGTTGGCGGTGAGGAAATGTTGAATACAAAAAGCTCTCTGCTCTTTATTAATCTTAACCCTGATCTCAGCAGGCAAAGGGAACTTGTGCAAAACTATCAGCAAACTTCGGTTGGCCTGTTAGACTACTGTAGTTTGCAATATGGCGCAATCGTCAGATTTTTTGTGGTAGGCCTAATGCGAACTAGTACGTTATGCTATAAAAATGGGGACATAGCCGTAAATGGATTGGTTTATTTACGCGCTATGTAGAGCAAAACCATTCTCTGAATTTAACTAAAATGAATAGCAGACAAATTCCTCATGATTTCCAAATGCTGTGTACAAATTTGAAACCCAAAACTTCTGTGGGAAGGAAAATATTTACCAAACAAGGGGTACAGTTTTTGTTTTGGATCACCCTGTATTTTTACTACACTCAATTCTAGGGATAAAAGTTATGCTTGTATAGTGTGTTTTAGTGTTCAGCCCAGATTCTAGTTTGCTTTCGTCTTGAATGTTATTGTTCTGTGAAAAAGTTTTCAGCTGACGTCTCAGCTTCAACGCAGTGAACTGTGTGAGCAAAATTTGAACATGGGAAGAAAGTGTTCGGGATGGGGCAGTAGAAGTTGTTATGCCAGCCGAAAGGGAGATAGCAAAAACACAATATTATAGATTTCCAAAAGATTCAGAAAAAAGCACAGAGGATCAAAAGTGTCCCAAATAAATTAATCTTAGAAGATGTCACTGATTATAGTATGGGAGTTTGCTCTCTGCACTTCCCACCTGATGTACCTTTGGCGCGGGCTGGAAGATATAATATGGTACCCACAGAGCCTCTATCAATATTTCCAGAAGTACTACCATCATTTTGTGGCACACCAGCTCCAAAAAGAAATAAAGAGAGCAACTCTAGAGCTGTTGATATTGATGAAATAAACGTATTTTTAATTAGGGGGGGGGGGTCCCACAAGCGAGCTAACTCCTTTATTTCTGGGTCTAGAAACCTTAAATTTGGCATACAACTTCGTCATGATACAGGTATTACGATGAAAAAAAAATTTCCCGGATCCAAGATGGCCGCCATTTTTATGGCGACCATATTGGATTTTCACATCATGTTTTCAAATCAATACTCCTCTGAAATTTACCGATGGATTTTATTGTCCTTTGGCACACATGTACCCAAGAGGCATATAAGTTAAACATAGTCAGTATCATTCGATATCTTATTCGTTTCGGAGTTACAGGAAGAAGCGTGCAAATCTTGTCAAAAATGCAGAAAACGGTCAATTTTCCAAATTTTTTAAATCATAAAATAAAAAACCAAGATAGATATAAAAAAACGCTGACTATGTAATGTAACCACCCCTAAGGGCAACAAGTATGCCAAGTGCCATCAAGATACACTTGTAATCTTCAGAGGAGTTTTGAAAAATGTGTCAAAAATTAAAAAATCAAATATTTTTGACAAAAAATGAGATACCTCTCTAATTAGTGAAGATAGAATAACAATTAGGGCTGGAGTCTGCTCGATTAATCGAAGGCTTGCGAGCGACGGACGGCTCGTGCCAGAGGCTTGCGAGCGGGTTTGAGCCTTGCCCGCTACGGGAGTTGCTACTCGTGGACGGCGGACGGGCTTACTGATTTGTATCGTGACGTCACAAACTCTTTTTTACTGAGCGCGCGATACTTCTTCTCCATTTTTAGTACCAGTGAAAACAGCTCATAACAAAATGTGAGCCGACGAAGATGTCACATTTTCACTGTTAAAGCACCGAGGTCGCGAACGGTCTGCACTAGGCTATTTACAGCCCTCTTTGCCTTGCACCAAAACCAGCGCAGCCTCTCGCTTCCTCCACGTCCAGAGTTCAGAGTTCACGCCGCGAGCGGGGTGGATTACCGGTAGATCTTGCGCCTCGGTGCAGACGAGCGGTGTTTGCCTGACGAACGGTGTTGTACTGACGAGCGGTGTTGTCCTGCCAGGGCGGTAGTTCGACTCAAAGCAGATTTATTGGCACGAGAGCAAGCCCTTAGCACAAAGCAATACGAGACCCAAAGCAGGTCTTGGGACCAAGTGCTTTGCTCTGCTGCGATTTGAGTCTTGCCTGCCGTCCGCTGCACGTATGCCTTCGATTAATCGAACAGACTAGTTTGTGGCGCAGTGACACTGTGCGCGGGGTCTCTCTCTCTCCCCCTCTCTCTCTTTCTGACGTTAGTGGTTTCGCGGATTGCAAGCAGGGAGGGGAAGGAAGAGAGGGTCAGACACGAGTGGCTTCGCGGATTGCAAGTTGGTGTGGGTACTTGAAACTGAGGCTAGACTCAACGTATCATGCTGGTGATTTGATTTGATGATTTGACCTAGTGATTTGAGGCTTGTGACTTGAACTAGGGGCTTACGAGCACGAGCGTGTTTGTTATCGGGGTACAGCCCTAATAACAATGTAACAAGAAAAAATGTTGGGCATCCAACTAGCTACGATTGTGCCAAAGGACAATCAAATCAACAGAGAAATGACTGAGAAAAGGCAAAAAGTATTGTAATACCCAATTTGACCCAGATTGACCAAAAATAGGTTGGACCCCCCCCCCCTTAAAGGAAGAGATGCCTTACCCCTAGTGGGTCGAGGGGATATAAATAGACCCACTGTTTCGTCTCCAGGAGGTGCAACCCCTTCAAAGACGAGTTGTCGCACATGGACCCCAACCCTCTGAGACCCGGATGTGACACCTGCTTTGGTGTATCTTC